CCGAAAAGATATCGGTTTACGTACTCTTGCCCTTTCAAAACCTTATATTACAAAGTTTTAAAAGCAGCGGGCAATGTCTAGTAATTTTGCTAGGCAGTTCAACGTATACGATGCCGGATAAAGCCTTTCATCTTTTATCTAGGGTCTTACAGCTAGAGCCACTCGTGTACGATTGTAAAACTTGAAATGCGAAGAGTCAAAGACGTAGAGTTTAATGTCGCATGCCCTTTTATGGATTATCATTGAACTAAATCTTCCTTCCCTGCCCCCTTCCTAAGTTGCTGACTTCAGTAATACTGCCTAATAGGAATATGCTCTGTAATGATTTTTAAGACAACGCTCTTTGAAATGCGCCACATCGCAGTGCAGTACCATTCACGGATCAATGTGGAAGTTTACTTCAAGACGTGCTACTAGACATCCATCATAGTAATCCAATCAAACTTCGTCGGCTCAGAAATTAATGAAGGAAACCGATACAAATGAAGCATTCGTCACCAAAACAACAAAAAATGACACCGTCATCATTGACATGAGCGGAATACTACGACAACGTTATGACAATCATGTGATGCCTTTTTGGAGCAGAATTTTTAAGTAAATTAAGTCACCTACCTTTTATCGTCAGTAATATGGCATTCGCTCGTCATAGATCAGCATAAAACCTAATTTCCTTTTTCCATTTGAAAAAATGAATATATTTCTTTCAATCCTTATTATCGTTAATTGTGTCTCTATAATAATTGATGCACATATTGTACTTACATATTCTACTGCTTGATATGTGAATAATTTAATTCAAATCAAGTGACTACTCTTAAGGAAAACCTTTCGCTTTCGCTGATGATAATTATTTTCGACAAGTACCCTCTGATTTCTCCTTCTGTTTTTTAGTTCGTTATTTTTCCATCTATTTTTTTAAATTATATACATTAGTGAAGCAATAGACAGTTAAACGCTACGGGTCTCGTAATTAAGGTAAAATTAATAGTTTTATTCACAAGTGACCTTCGGTAACTACGGGCGCTTTCTAGTTCAACAAAACGTGCAGTTTAAATTTCCGAAAATTTCCAGAGGCGAATAAAATAGCATTTCTAGAATTTCCGGAAAGAGGGCAACCTCACTCGCTATACCCAGTTGCGAATTATCGAAACTTTATTTTCGGGAATCTATGCTCCGGTCCTTATACTGTATGTCAAAAAAAATAATAACGTGTTATTTTATCATTTTTCAGAGCCAACGAAGCGTTATTTCAACTGTTAGGAGACAAACGTTGCTCAAAATTCAGTTTGAAGACAAAAATGGCGATTGAATTTGGCTTTTTTTAAACTAAACCCCAAGGCCCCGTTCACACTAGGGGCCGGAGAAAAGTAAAAACGGCGCTTTGACTCTGAAAATATATCAAATACAATGTTTTCTGTCCACAATACGCCGGAGAAATTTGAAAACGCAACGATCACCGGTCATTTTGGAGTTCTGTTTGAGG